AAAAGACCACGTTTAAATGGCGCACAAGGGTAATCAAGCAAGGCTTCTCAAGACTGGAGTCTGTCCTCAGGCTTTGACAATCCTAAGCCCCACCCTGCCAGCCCAAGGACTGAGGCATCAATAGTTTCGCATACATTAATCCATCCCTGACTTTGGAGGAGAAGGGGATCACTCACCTGTTGGGAAACTGAGGTAGGGGGCAGGGACTGTCTGTATTTTAGTCAGAGTAAGAAGTGGGATCAAAACAACAAATGAAAGATTAAAATAAGAGGGAGAAATGCTTGATTGTTGGATTTGAAAATAACAGATTGTTTTGTCAAAGAACATGCGGGTGTGTGTGTGTGCGTGCAGCACATGTCCCAAAAGTCTGTGTGTGATTTAAGCTTCACAAACTTCAGAAAAATAAGTGCTACAAACTTACCTGTGGTCATGGATTGAATTGTGTCCCCCCAAAAATATGTAGATCAATTTGGCTAGGCCATGATTCCCAGTATTGTGTGACTATCCACCGTTTTGCCATCTGATGATTTTCCTATGTATTGTGAATCCTATCACTATGATGTTAATGAGATGGATAAGTGGCCATATTGATAAGATCTATAAGATTAGATTGGTGTCTTAAGCCAATCTCTTTTGAGATATAAAAGAGAGAAGCAAGCAGAGAGACAGAGGGGACCTCATACTACCAAGAAAGCAATGCCAGGAGCAGCGCATGTCCTTTGGACCTGAGGTTCCTGTGCAGAGAAGCTCCTAGACCATACGAAGATTAATGACAAAGACCTTCCTCCAGAGGCGACAGAGAGAGAAAGTCTTCCCCAGGAGCTGGCGCCCTGAATTTGGACTTCTGGCCTACTAGACTGTGATAGAATAAGGTTCTGTTTGTTAAAGCCATCCACTTGTAGTATTTCTGTTATAGCAGCACTAGACGACTAAGTCACCTGCCAAATCACTAGAAGGCTTAATTATTTACATTTATTGTATACTTTAGTTTTGTGAATGTTGAATAATGAATTATTAATTTTAATTATTTGAGTCAGCCCCTCTGATTGAAGATGGCAAAGGCTAACTGAAATGAAAAATTAAACAAACAAAATTTACTTTTCAACATTCACAAAACTAAATAAGTATAGAAGAACTTTAAGTCCTACATCTGGGGTGGTGGAAGGCAAAAACATTCTATAGGAAATGATTTGAGTCTATATGTGATCCTTAGAGTATAAATGTCTGGGAACAAGAAAAAATTCCAGGCAGTACTTCAGACTTTGAAGGCAGTGAAATTGATGAGGTCCACATCCCCAAACAGTAAAGCAGACTCAGGTAGTATCTGGGTTACAGATGGAATAAACAGAAAAAAATTCACTAAGGTAAACATAAGGCATGATAAAAGGGTGGAGTTTGATAATGGGATGATATGGTAGGGCTGGGCAGGATGGTGGGGGAGGGGCTGTAGGCTCAGCTTCATGGAGTCCCCTCCCCCACCATCATAAACCCTTTGTGATTTCAAAACTTTGTGATGCAGGCCTGGGACCTCACAGTCCCAACTGAGCTCCCTCAGTGCTCAGTTGCCTGAGGTAGCCGTGCATTTCAGAATAACAGAGACTGTTCTCTCATTTCTGAATAGCTATCCTGAGCCATTGCTGAACTTCGGCTCAACTTTCTTGGATAGTGACCCCACCTTCACCTTCCTGTGTGGGCTGCGGTTGTTCTTTCTGTTCCTGTGCTACCTAGTGTGGAATCCATATTTACCAACCTGGCAGAACACAAAGGCATCAGAAAGGTAAGGAACCCGGAGCTGAGCTCCCAACAAAGATTCTCTGTTGTTTTCCATTTTTATTCCCACTTTTCTAAATCAAATATGTTGGCACACACAGACACCTTTGGTGGGAACTCTGAAGAGAGGATAGATCACCATGCTGCTAGGGGAAGAAGTCAGGCAGGGGTAGCGGTTCATGGACTAATGTTTCCATCTGAAGCTCACAGGCCACCTGGGTGTTGTGGAGGGTTCCTGGATAAAATCTCAAACACAGTGATTCTATGGTCCTGGATTAGGTTATTCAGAGAGTTTGGGATCCCTGCAGCAGAAGAGCGTCCCAACACTTACTCATCAGTCACATTCCCATATCAGGTGTCACTTGACCAAGCCTTCCTTGGTGCTGGGTAGTCACATTTCCATATCAGGTGTCACTTGACCAAGCACCAAGCCTTCCTTGGTGTTGAGTTGATCAGTAGAGCAGCGCTGAGACTCTGAGAGCCTCTGAGCAGAGGCTGTATAGCCTGAGCTCTGATCTGCGATACAGGGTCCTTTCTGACGGAGCATAGATGTGACTGTTGGTCCCTGAGCAGATAAGGGCTACTGACTGGGAATGTCCAGTGTGGTTCTCATAGACATCAATATTTTACCACCTTTAAAAATGAATGAAAGGAAGGAACGAGAAGTTCTATTTATTAAACTATTGTTAACTGCCGTAGGGTTGGCTCCGACTCACGGCAACCTCACATATAACAGAATGAAACAATGCCTGGTTCTGCACCACCCTCAGTCGCTGGTATGTTTGAGCCCACTGTTGCAGCTATTGTGTCATTCCATCTCACAGAAGGATTCCCTTGTTTTTGCTGACTCTATTAATTAAAACAGTCATGTTATTCATGGATAACGAATGTCCCCAGCTTCCTAGAGAAAGGAGTGTGAACTGAGTGCCAGCCCCTCCTTAGAGAAAGGAGTGAGAACTGAGTGCCAGCCCCTCCTTGTGTTCTTTTTTCCACTCAGTGTAAGGGCAGAGCCAAGAGGAGGAGGACAGGTGGAACATTTCAAGGTAAGGTTCTACCTATTCCTCCTGGGCTCCCCAAGGCTGACTCTTCCTCTTCCTTCCATGAGGTCCCAGGTCCACGATCTCTGAGGATGTCAGTTGCTAGATACAGTCTCTCTCAGAAACAGAGCCCTCAAAGAAGAGGCTTATAGGAAGGCAGCTAGAACCTGAGATACCCTGCTCTCTCTATCCATGGGCATGAATGAGTGATGGATGTGGGCAATAGGTATAGCCTAATAGGTGGATGTGTGAGGTACTGAGGAAAGACAACTGGTTGGTTTGGAGTCAGACTTCTGTTTCCTGACTTTGGACAACTAGTTTAACTCCCTGAATGCTGACATTACTCTTTGAGATCACCACCAGTCTCTGTCACTGAAAGGTTGCTCTTGAGTATCACACAGAATAATATACATAGAACTACTTTATAAATGATGAAGCAACATACACACAGGTGCCTTGTTAAGATTATCACTGATGATTTATTTGAACTGTCTACTGATTCTTGAAGTTTGAATTGAGAATCTAATATCCCAAGGATCTTCCATAAAGGGACTCCTTGTTCGATGCCTATGCTTCTACCTTCAGCCACATATGACCTTCTCTCCTGATTTCCCAGGTTGGAGAGCTCACGAGAGAGAAGCAGAGGAGACAGGAAAGCTGCTTTCTGTTCTGAAAAGGTAATTCATCTTTCCCCTACCCCCCTAGTCCCTCTTTTAGCATGGTCTATGAAATCCTAGGAGTCCCCGGGTGGTGGAAACAGTTAACACGCTTGGTTGCTAACTGAAAGGCTGGAGTTTCAAGTCTACCCAAAGGCACCTTGGAAAAAAGCCCTGGCAATCTACTTCAGAAAAATTAGACATTGAAAACCCCGTGGAACACAGCTCTACTCTGACACATGTGGGGTCACCATGAGTCCAGAATCGACTTGACAGAAACTAGTTTTTGGTTTGCAATTCCAGGGCCTCAGTGTAGCCTGTTATGTCATAGGAGGGGTAGCCATAGCAACTGGAAGGTGAATGAAGGCCTTGGGGAGACAGATGTAGGGTGGGTGCACTGTGACGTCACAGATGTGGGGGGATGAGAAGGGGCTATAGGCTTCAGGTGGCCCCACCCCTGCCAGGGCAGCAGGCCCTGCTATTCTTGTACTGGTCCTGGCTGCAGCTTTGTGCCTCCTATCTCGGCGGCCCCCTGGGCCAGTGTCATGATACCCTCCACTTTCATCACATGTTATGTCCAGATCCCTCCTGTGAGGTGTGTAATAGAGCAACTGCTGCGGTCAGTCGGCTGCTGTTTGGGGAGCCCGTGGAAGACGCTGCTCCCTGTGTGTCTCCTGTGGCTTCCACAGCGTCTGTGACTGAGTCATCTTGCACTCTGGCCCTCTGAGCACAGCTTCCAGAAGACCCAATACCAGCCTCCCTGCCTGAGCCCTCTACCTCTCTCCTCCATCCTCTCACCTGACCTGATAACCCTCTTAGTTGATTTTATTTCACCCTCACCAATGGGTGACTTTCTGCCACCAGAGCCTATTTCCCCCTTGGATTCCACATTCGCAATGGACCGTTTTCCACCCCAACCTCTTGCTTTCTCCCCATTCTCACTACATCACACTCAGAAAATGGAACATGTTCTACAGTCAGATCCCGCTTTGTCTCTGAACATCGTCTTCTCACTTGACCCTACCCTGTCTCAAGGTATGAACCCCTCGCCATATCTGTCCCATGCAATGAATCTCACTGATTCATTTGCTTGTCATTGCACACCGCCAACCCTATCTGCCTCACCACCAGCAGACTGCACTTGAACTATGACTCAGTCTCAACTGATATCAATCTCACTAAAGCCTGTCCCTGAGAGCCAACAGTCACAAGCACAAACCATTCTAGCACGTCCATTTCAGAATTCTCCTGGTGGCCAGCTCATGCCAAGGACTGGTTCCCGTCTACCTTGACACAGTGTGATTTCAACCAAGAGCTTCTTGCTCTCTACCCTTCAGAGATCTCCTTTGGGGTAAACCTTGCAACCAACACTGTAGAGGCTGGTAACCTCTTCCTTCTCAGTCCTGATGTCCTGGCTTTCCTGGAGAGAGAGGTAAAAACGAGAGGAGATTTCCTGATGTTGAGGGAAAAAGAAATGAAAAAGGAAACATTTCCAGACCAACTTCGGCCAGACTACCAACTAAATTCCTTGGGGAAAATGTTCACATCAATTTCTGAAAAACATGACTCAGCAGCCTCTGTACCCTTCTGGGATATGGAAGCCAAACCAAAGAAACTTCACATTCATCAGGAGTCCCCGTATCCTAAAACCTTTAGGGACCATGTACGTCAGCAACACATCCAGCTCTTCTGGGGTCTCTCCTCTCTGCACATGAGTCCCTGGTGTCTACTAACTTGGTCTCAGCTGGCTGTTCCTCAGCCTTCATCTTTTTCAACAGAATTCAAATGTCCACCGAGTCCAAATGCAAAATAAAGAATCCCCATTACTTTCTCATCCCCTACCTCTGTCCTTGCCTGAGATTCAGCCTCAAACTTTGTCTCAGACTTTGCCCCAGTCCCAGCATCTACATCTCACTCAGGTACAGCTCCAGGCTACCTTCAATCCCAGCTCCAAATCCTACCACCTTCTCCACCCCGGATTAGGACCTATGGAGTGTTTTTCCACAGACCCCAGAATGAGGCACAGTCTCTTATCCAAGATGAAATTCACCACCTGGAGTGGCATGTGCTGCAGAAGCTACTGGAAGGTTTGTGGGGTGTACCCTCTGTTGTCCAAAGATCTCAGGAAGCCTTTTGTCCTCCAGCTTCTAACCTTCCTCAGCACCACCAGCCTTACTAGGCCCATGCTCTAGTCTCTATCATTCCTGAAAATTTTCCTCTCAGCATTGAGTTCCAGAAAGTATTAGAACACCACCTTCGAAAGAGTCTCATCCAACACCAGTGAGGCCTGCCCCACAGGATCCATGAGTCTCTGTCACTGATGTAGCCTCCAGATGAATTTCCAGAGATATCTGAATATGGACTCTCATGGATCTCTGGATTTGAGTCAGAGCAGCAGGGATCTAAAGGGTGATGGACTGAGCCACCGCAGAAGCGTCTATGAAAGGAGCCTAGAAATGCTTCACCTAGAGAAGGACATCAGGAAGGATCAGGGACACAGCCTAGAGAATGTCCCAAAAGATCATCTGTCAAAAGACCTAAAAAGCTCTTCAGTTAGGGTTCTGGGGTCTGACTCTGAAAAAGATCCAAAAAGCCACAGGGTAAGTCTGTCAGGGAATAATTAAAGAGCCTCAGTGGTGAACCTAGGTCAGAAACAACTGGAAAATGCCTTCAAAACACATTTGAGTAATAAGCTTGGGCAAATCAAGGAGGGTAGGATGACTGAGGTTGTGGATAGTTCATGGCATGCTGTCAAAAAGACACTGCCTCTTCCTGAGAAATCCCACACCCAAATGAAACAGAAATTTGGCACCTCTGGTACATAGGGACTACTGCCTGAATACTTCTCAGGAGTTTCTATTTATTGATTCCAGCACAAAACAGAGGTTGGAAGGCCATATTAAAAGTTTTCATACAAGGATGATATGAGGCCTTCCCTGCAAAGTCGTAGAATCCATACAAATCTTTAAATTGACAGAGTGCCCATGTTTTCCCTTTTCCTATTCCAACTTGCCCTCATCAATCATCCTTATATCTGGGATAAACTCCAAAATTGAGGTTTCTAAGCCTCTTGGAGAAAGCGTTCAAACGTTTTGAAGAGACATGATAACAAATTCAGTCCCTATCATGGATTGTTCTCGACCCGCCGTCTCACCTGTGGCAAGGAAGGGCAGGGGCCTGAGACAATCACCCCCTAATATTGATCATGAGCTTACAGAGGACTTCCAGATAATTAAAGATGGCAGAAAGACTTCTGTGTCTCTGAAACACAGAAACACAGACAAAACAAGTCAGAGTAAGACTGTAGTACCCAACAGACACAGCCAGAGTTGCCCACAAGTCAAACTGGGACTGGACACACACCAAGGGACAAGAGCACAAGTTCCAGAGATACAGCGGGAATGCTTCGGGGCAAAGGGATGATAGACAGGAATTTACAACATTTTCCCATGGCCAGCGTGTCCAGGGAGATAGATATTCAAGGCCAAGGAACACATTGCTCTTCAATCACAACCTGCCAACACCATAAGAACCAGAAAGCTAGGAAACTCCCAAAGGAAAAGTGTGATTTCAAGTAAAGTAGAAACTAACCTGATGACTAAAAATCCCTGAATGCCAAGAGTATCAGTTCTTCAAGATCATGATCCATCACACATTAAAGGACAGCTGGTTAATGAATTAAAGTCTCAGTTGTAGGCCAGGCAGTATAGCCAGGCTCAGGGCTCCTCCACTGACATGTCTCTTGCCTCACCTAGCTTGGTTCCCACTGACTCACTGTGGAATGACTCACTCACGCATACCCAGAAGGTCCCCAGTGGGTACACAGCAACTCCCCAGGTACTGTCTGTCCACATGGAGGACAGAGGGATCAGCATGGAGCAGCAACAGGAGTGCAGGGTCTGTAAGCACGTCTTAGGGAAGTGCCAGGATAAGAATTTCCCACCAACTGCAAAGAGAATGAACCCTCAAGTACCCAAAGCAGAAGAGCTGGGGGGGAGAAGATACAGGGTTGGGGACATCTCAAACCAGAAGGAAGAGCTACCATGCTCATAACAAGAAATTCAAGGAGACCTTTGGGAGCAGGTCCTCCCAGTCCCTGTCGTAGAAGGGACAGTGCCCTCCTGAAAGTAATTTCAGAAAAAAGATGAAGTACTTTTTGTGATGGCTTCATCCTAGGATGGAATGCAAAGGGCAGGAAAGTTCCCTGGAAACAGGCAGCTCCATACCACCCTCTATGCAGAGTGGAGGCCAAGGCAGAAGTAGAGTTGTTCCTACTGGGACCACTGAAGGTCAGAAACTCATGACAGATGGGAAGTTCCTAAAAGAGAAACTGGGGCGTAGGCATGGATAGATACCACCTGCCTCTAAGAGCCCCTTCACACCCGTATGAAATTGGGGAAACTCAGCACAAGGTGAAAGTGAGGTCCCAGGCAGGGCCTGTCCAAGGGCCTCCTTTTAACTCCAGGGCTCCTTCCTATAAAGCCAAGAAGCTGTGTCTGCTGGCTGGAGTTATCCTACAAGTGGTAGACTGACCAGGGAGAGGGACAGACAGACACCTCCAGAAAATGAAAGGATTCAAGGGCCAGGTATCTTCTCAGAGGCAGCCCCCATAACCGCCACCCCACCACCTAGCCGCGGAGGTTTACATCTTATCCAGGCCCCACCAGCATGAGTCCAGCTGCCAGGTACCTCAGGCCACATCCCCATTGCTCAAGGCACTGTGTTCAGAGATCTGCTCTTCCCTTCAGAGAGAAAATGCTACCCCAGCACTGCCCAGGAGGAAAATGTCCCTCCAAAAAATCATTCATTCCTTGTTGAGAATATTGGTCCTCCTCAACAAATGTTTCTTCTGAGAGTGGTGTTTTCCATGTGTACTGTGTTTGGGGCCTGGGTTTTGGGTATCCTAGGATGTGTGCTTAGGGAAAGGAAGGCGTTAGTTCAGCTCCTACTGATTGCCTCCTTTGGCTTCTAAGAGGTGACCAGTCCCCTAGAGCTCTCGGTGAGGAATAGAAATCACCCCCTCCCAAAATCCCCTTCCCTCGTTAATGAAGCTTGAGATGGGTTCTGGTTCCCACTTCTTATCTTCTCCTTAATGAAAAATGCATCTGCCGCTGATCTGTTTTCTACTGCTCTAAAGGATATGAAACAAGAAAGGGGAGGGTACAGGCTTAATCACATTTTTTAGAAAAAGTTTTCTATAACTATAGGATTACACAGGTGGGTGGACCTTGAGTGGGGGTGCTGACGGGTTACTGCTGCAGTGGATACTGGACAAGTTAAGGTAGGTCCTAAGGAACAGGGTAAATGCTGCTTAAGAATCTGTCATGTGGGGCATGTTAATGTTCAGGAAAGCACACTTGAACTTGACATTGAGGTTTTCTGACTGGAAAGGTATCCTGGGGAAATGGTTCCCTTCCCAGGGTATGTCTTCAGCCTGCCTGGATTGGTGGCATTTTTGTAGGGCAAAGGGATCACCCACCTGTCAATGGTAAGAATGTTGGCTAGGCAGCCACCCAGCTCCCAGGGGAAAATAAAGCACAGAAAATGAGGAAAAGATTGAGTTAGAGTGGGAAAGGAAGAAAATGAAGAAGGGAAAGAATGACCTTTTTGAAGGAACGAAGGTTTATGCCCCCATCATCCCTATATCATGACTCTGTCCTGCTTCCCCTTTCCCCAGTCTGACCAGGCACCAATTCCTTGAGGATGAGCAGGGCACTGCAGAACATACTGATGCTATTTTTGCAGAAATGTACACAGGACTATCTTTGAGTATTAGGGAAGGTGATCTTGGTGCCTTCCTTCCATCCATGCTAGATGACAGTGTACAAGATCTTATCCTTAGTGTGTACACGGTTCGCTCATCAGGATGGACGTGCCACCTTGTGATCTTCATGGGCATGGTGGAACCATGATAGATCTCCTCCAGGACACCCAAAGCTCATGCAGTACAGGGTAGTCCTAGATCATGCACCAGGGTTATAGGTGTTTGGGGGCTCACCATAGACTTCCATGGAATGTCTTTTTATCAAGACTATGCACATACCCACCCTTAAAATAGCCATCAGGAAAATTCAAATTAAAACCACAATGAGACAGTACTTCACACCCACTAGGATGGTTAGAATGCAGCCCTGGTGGTACAACGTACAACAGTTAAGCGCTTTGGCTACTAACCGAAAAGCTGGTAGTATGAACCCGCCCAGCAGCTCCGCAGGAGAAAGACCTGGTGATCTGTTCCTGTAAAGATTACAGCCTAAAAAACCCCATGGAGCAGTTCTACTTTGTCACAAGGGGTTGCTAACGGCACCTAACAACAACAGGATGGCTAGAATAAAAAAGCAGTAAGTGTTGGCAATGAAGGTCATGGAAGCTCCATAGACACATCCAAACTCCCTGAGGGACTGAATTGCTGGGCAGAGGGCTGTGGGGACCATGGTCTCGGGGAACATCT